TTGTGAGTTTGAGATTTAGGCTCTGTTTTGTTGCAATGCAAATTTATTTGCAATGATGCAAAGCTATGGTAGTGCAAATGATTTCAACACAAATTATGATTTATTTTTATTTCAAAATTTACCTTATTTTGTTTGACTGCACTACAGATGAAGTAAAATGAGATGTGAAGCAGAATAAAGTAAAACCCAAAGCAAAATTAAACAAGAATTTGCATTATTTTCATTTGCACTCCCAATCATTTCTACTAGTGCAAATGAAGTTGCACTGCAACCAAACACAGCCTTAAGACTTGGAAGAGCTTCAGCATTTTCTTGGCAATAAAGTGGTAAAATTGAAACAGTATATTTCTTTTATAAAGAAAGCATTTTAGTAATGTGGTGAGTCAAGGTTGTGTTTGGTATTAACAATCATCTCATTGTTAATTACAAGGGAGAGGAAATGTGGAGGGGCAGACCAAGGTCGTGTTTGGTATCATTTCTATTTCTACCTAAAACATTTTGGGTTGATCAATACAAATTGATAAGATATATATGTTGTCACATTATATGTGAGAGTTACTTGGCTACAATGATTAGAGTTCACCCCCCTCCCTCTGCGGAGCAAGAAACACCAATTTGATGTGTATGGACTATGGAAATAGTCTCTCACACATGCATATTTTAGGTATGCCTATTTCAACCATAAATAGCCTCAAATAACAATTGCATGACAATTTACATTGATCAACCCAAAATGTTTTAAATAGAAACAACAATGGTACTAATTAACAGAACCCAAGTATGTCTGTTGATAAAGCATGTCTAACAAGTTTATGGGCAGCTGTATTAGCTCCTCTATAAGGCATATCTCTTGTTGCCCTTGATGTACAAATACTACAAATACATACAAAATAAAAGATTTTCCTTTCAAACTTAGCCTTATTCAGATGATAAGCACTCCACATTTGATGATGTTTATCAAGATAATCAGACAGCCATTACACTGGCTTATATTGAGATGGACAAATATTATCTAACGATCATCACTAAAATAATGAGTATCTAAAAATGACAACAAAATGTCGGTAGTTGACAGTACAAACCCAAGCTTTGGCTGTCTTCTGATTACAATTGTAGCTTATCTAAAGTTCTTTAGATATGCATGCTTTTGTCTTTTATAAAGATATGTCTACATACATTTAGTGTCTCTTTATCCCATCAGATGGGTAAATTTCATGGCAAAGGGGGGAGGGAGAAATGGGAAAAGGGGAATATGGAAAAGAAAAAAAAAAAGAAGGGAAAAATGTTATCCTGTGGTTGGTCATGTATCATGCCTAGTAAAGTATACTTATTTGAAATGGATTATTTTCCATCAATAAAGAAAGAAATGGAAGTGAGTTCATTTTTTAAGAAACCATAATAACTTGGGAATGAAGCTATATTTTGAATCCTGATATGACCTCATTTCAATCTGATTATACCATTTTGGAGGATTAAGGACTTGGCTGGGTCCACGTATGCCCCAACCCCCGGATTACGTGTCTTCCAGATGGAGGGGTCACCTTGAAATTTTATTAGCCATTACTAAAGGGAAGACAGAAAAATAACAGATCTAGAAGAACCTTGCTCCAAACCCAAGTTTTTTTCCTTTGATGTGAATGCATTGGTTACAGATTGGACCTAATTCCTCCTGGGTCTTCTACCTATGGACCCGAGTTGGACCCATATGCTCTGGTTCAAATGTTATAATCCTGCCCAACAGAAAGCCATTTTTGTGGGACGGACCCTACTAATCGGGGCCAGGTATGAATGGAATAGCAGCCCAACCCATAGGCCTAATTTTCCCAATCTTTCATATAAACCAAATGGGGAATGGAAAACATATGGATGAATGTGGAGAAAATAATCCACCCATGTTATGAACATTCAATGCTTGTGGCAGCAAATATCTTAATTGTCTAAAGTTTTTGGTTAATTTCCACCTAAATCTACTTTGGACATAATGGGGTGGCCTGTGGACACAAATGTTTTTGTTTTTTATTCTTCCTTTTCCATGTTTGGTAGCTCAAGAGAAATTAGAAAAGAAGTTGCATTAAGAAAGGGGGGGGTGATGCAGTTTAGTGCTGGACCACAGTCAACGGAACTGAACTGTCTCAGCCCAGGGTCTGACTCTGCATTATGCTTTCCTGATTATAATTGGGTTAACATTGGTTTTGGTTCAATTTAACAAATAAAAAGGAGGTTCACTGTCAAATTACAGAGTATAACTTTGTCTCGATTTTCTACATTAATAATTGGTTCGATTTTTAGGTCTATTATTACACACCCTATAGGGTCTGATTCAGAACTGATTTTATACATTTTTATTTAAAGGTTCAGAACCAGATCTACCAATTTGTATACAGATCATCAGGTGGGTTTTCATCAAAATTCACAGGGTTTTTATCATGTCTTTGAGTCTTTCGGCATCATAGATATTTCCTTGTACGCAAACATCTACTAAAGTTCATTGATCCCTTTGAACCCTACTACTTAGGTTGGTGAGGACTTGAAAATGTACCTAATCACATGTTGTCTTTTGGTAGCAAAGCCTTAGGTCTGATTTGTTGAAATCGACCCGCCAATTAGCTCCCATGCGCCACACGTAATGATATTCAATTCATTTGTTGGGGCTGCGTTTTGATTGTGGAGTGGATTTGGTTTGGATGTAATTTCCATCGCCCAATGGATTTCATGGAGTTAAAATGTACAACTCACCAAGATTATCTGAATTCTGTTCAAACAAAGAATTTGAAAGCCAGAATTTTGGTTCCCTTCATTGTTAAATAAACCCAAAATTTTCGTTCCCTTTATTTAGGAAAATGTTAGTTAGGACCAAGGTTTAAAGTATCGTATTGGCCTGTAACGGCCAATACATATTGTTCTGGGAGCCTGATACATGTCTACATAGGGTGTATTGGGGTTCTGACTGATTCAGGGGGTAGAGGAGACTTAAACCGGCCCCTAAATCGGTTTTAAAAAACTTTAAAAGAAAAATAAAAAAATGTATCGATATCGTCCCATATGCCCCTACTGATATATCAGGCCTATCGATATTTTAAACCTTGATTAAGACCCATGTGGCTTAACAAATAAAGTGAAGCAAAGGGAGCCTTATGGCTCTATTTGGTAAGAGTGTATATATAAATATATTATAAATTCTAGACCCTGTTCATCTCTGTAGACCTTTTAATCTGTACTTTTTCCAAAAACTGTAGTGAATTGGATTTTAAAAACCCAAACCTTCTCGTACATGGAAATGCAAAACCCTCCCAACCCTACTCAGGACCTATGTGGCTTAACAAAGAAATTGAAGTAACGAGAGCCCTTTAGCTCAATTTGAAAAGAGTATAAATACAAATATATATAATGTAAATATATACAAAATAAAAATAAAATTCAAGATTTTGCACTCTACATATTTGTATTCATACTTCTTCCAAACTGAGCCTATCACATTCTCAATTGGGTAAAATCGATCTATGTCCAACTTAAGTATTAATTATTTTTTAAATAATGTCTATAGTTTCCTTCATTGAGGGAAATACTCAAAACCCATTTTTGTTTGGATTTTGTAGAGCAATTCTACTTCCACCCATGAAATTTTCTTCTACAATTCTAGTGAAATTCTGTGGGAACTAGCTCTGACCCTCTCTCTAGAGTGGACTGATTCTAAATTTAAGCACTGGTTTGCAGTTATGTGCAGGAGACTAGTAGGGCGGGGTTCGGATAATTTGAAAAGCTAGTGATGTTTTAGGAAATTTTGGAATGTTCAGGGTGCATTAAATAAGGCAGTACATCCAAGGCCAAGAGTAGGTATTGATTTGGTCACCCTTTCGTCACCAAAGGAAATGATGTGTGTTGGCTATATACTGTAAAAGATGCGGTTTCTATGGTTGACGGTTGACATATCTCTTTGCCTCACCAACCCTCCACCTACTTTGGGTGGGACCCCACCCTCCAACTTTGACCTCCCACCACCACCAAAGTCACCAACTCCCAATACCATCACTGTCACCCCCAAAAAATAACCCAATGATACCTTCCTTTGATAATTTATAAAGGGCAGAAAACTTTGATCTCCTAGAAAATATTGTACAAAAATGAATTCTACTCACTGAGCCGTCTGATCAGAATCTATATGACTAAGAAAATTATTTGGCTCATAATCCACTATGTTGGAGAGGTAATCAAATAACCTAGAGATTAAGGTACAATATTGTGTTGTGCTCTGATCTCTGTTTCCAAATGTCTGGAGCACTATAGCTATGATGCCATTTGACTTAGTGATTTTTTATTATATATTTCATAATTATACACACCTAATTTATCTATTAATTATAATAAGATTAAGAAAATTAACCAAAATTCGCCCCTAATTTTTAGATTAACATGTTAATGGAAATGGGTTATTGGTTGAAATTTGCAACCTGGCCGGATATAGGCACTTTGAACCATTTGGGACTGCTATGTGTAAAAATCTTGATCATTGAGGAACAAAAAATGCTAATTAAAGTTGTCCTAGTTCAGCTCCACATACCCATATAATCAGGCTGACATGACCTATATTGATTGGCCAGAATCTTCATGTTCCCACAGATTCTTCTTTTATTAGTTCCTGGTAGGTAATCTGATGCCCCTCACTCAGTATTATAAGCCTCTAACATGATCATTTCGAATAATGACATTTTCTCTTTTCCCAATCAAATAGAAGAAAGAAAATCCAAGGAGGAAACTGTGGGCTAAGAACAGGAGGCCCCACCTCCCTCTCCTAACTTCGATTCACCTCCCTCTCCAAACTTTGATTCCTCACAAATCACAGCCACAGCCTTCCCTTGACAAACTCCATTCTCACTGTTGGACCTCCAACCACCAAGGAAAGAACCAATCCAAAAACAACTCAATTCAGGCTTCAGCACACCCTTTTGCTAATAAAAAACACCCTTAAAATCAATTCACCAACTCTCTCTCTCTCTCTCTCTCTCTCTCTCTCTCTCTCTCTTATATATTCAATCCCTTCTTCCTCCAGTCACCAGAATCATCTCTCCCACCCTCTCCCCCTAATGGATCTCTCCATATTCCTCTCCTCAATCCTCTTCATCTCCCTTGCTTACAAGCTCTACCAGCGCCTGAGGTTCAAGCTTCCACCAGGGCCAAGGCCATGGCCAATCGTCGGAAACCTGTATGACATAAAGCCGGTGAGGTTCCGGTGCTTCCATGAGTGGTCACAGACCTACGGACCCATCATATCTGTGTGGTTTGGGTCGACTCTGAACGTGATTGTATCCAACTCAGAACTGGCGAAGGAGGTACTCAAGGAGAATGATCAGCAGCTGGCAGACAGACACAGAAGTAGATCAGCAGCTAAGTTCAGCAGAGAAGGGAAGGATCTCATCTGGGCTGATTATGGACCTCACTATGTCAAAGTTAGGAAGGTCTGCACTCTTGAGCTCTTCACCCCCAAGAGGCTTGAAGCTCTCAGACCCATTAGAGAAGATGAAGTCACAGCCATGGTTGAGTCCATCTTCAGAGATTGCACCACTCCTGGTATGTCCCTTTCTTCATAATATTATTGTTTTGTGATTCAATAAGACTAGTACCCATACAAGATGGGGCATTCTTGCCAAGTAGATTCCAATCTAATGGCAGAAAAAGAAATCCCCTCGGCTGATGGATCCTTACTAAAAAAAATAAATATGTAAATAATTAGAATATTACTATGTTGTCTAGGTAAGCTGGTGGTTGGCGTGTAATTGGGTGCATTCAACCATAATACTGACTACTCTCTTTTTTCATTTTTGTTTTGTTTTCCAAACTCAATCTATTTGTTTGTTAAGGGTTTGTTAGATTATTCTTCTGTTATTTTTTTCAATTAATATCCCGTTATTCTTTCACCGCCACCACCTCCTTGTCTGGAGAATGATTCAGATAGTTGTGGGTAGTGGTAGGTATGATGTGAATCGAACCATTGGATTGGAATCATAAATCAGACACCCACTTCAGTGACAATTCAATAAATGCCCCTATCCTATAAAAGAAAATGATTGTTATTACTATTTTAGTCTTTTCACTTCTCCTTAATCCAAACAAGTTTCCCTATCGAAAGCAAAGAAATATCTCCAAAGGGCACCTTTGTCATTAAGAAGCTGACCGAGTAAAATTACCACAAAGCACAGTGCAAAAACCGTTCAAACAACCATCGTAGTCTTGCACTGTAGAAATACGGAGATATTCCCGATGCAAGGCTGTTCGAAAAACGGGCCTTGCATTCACTGAAGCCGACCTCTTATTATTACTCAGGTCCACTTCCTTGGAGTGGATGTAACGCTTCCGAAAAGCAAGAAGACGGCAGACTTGACCCTTCCACACTAAAAAAAAAGGTCCCCTAGTCGGGTCAAGTAGGAGCTTTCCTACACGAGCTGCCAAATTTTTCCCATGTGGAGTGATGATGTGGCTAATTCAAGCCGGGGACCTCTCTGGATTGACCAATGCCCCACCTTTTGTTAGGGTTTTTTCACATTAGGATATATTTTGGCCACATGGCAAGAGTTTTTGGTTTCAAATTTTGTCCAAATATATAAGATAACAAGAAGAATCTGTAGGGTCATTTTCATCTGTGCGTGGGTGGGTTGGGTTCTATGGTGGGCCCACTTCTTTCATTGGGCCTTAGTTTTTAAATCGTTCATGGGCCTAAGTGCCTACTTTCTATCCTACATAGCAATGAATGGATGTTCCAAGCAGCCCATGTGTTAACAATACTTCGAAGAACATGTTGAAGCATTGCATTCAAGTACCATTTTGTTTTACTTAATACAACCATGGCTGAAGTTCAGTAACTGGGTGCTGTGCAGACAATCAAGGGAAGAGCATTTTAGTGAAGAAATATCTGGGCACAGTAGCATTCAACAACATAACCAGACTTGTGTTTGGGAAGCGCTTTGTGAATGCTGAAGGCATCATTGAAGAGCAAGGTAAGGAATTCAAGGCAATTGTCTCTAATGGGTTGAAGCTCGGTGCATCACTCGCCATGGCTGAACACATCCCATGGCTCCGGTGGATGTTTCCCCTCGATGAGGCGGCTTTCGCCAAGCACGGGGCTCGCAGGGACCGCCTCACCAGAGCTATCATGGAGGAGCACACTGTGGCTCGCCAGAGGAGTGGCAATACTAAGGAACACTTTGTTGATGCACTGCTCACACTCCAGGAGAAATATGATCTCAGTGATGACACTGTTATTGGCCTTCTGTGGGTATGTAGCTTCAAGATCTACCACTTCCATATAAAACTAATTCATTTCTAGTGGGCTGGGCCGGGTGAACCAAAGCCCAGTATGGAAAGTGACCAACTTGGCCTCTTTTGCTGTTATGCAGGATATGATCACTGCAGGCATGGACACAACTGCGATCTCGGTTGAGTGGGCAATGGCAGAGGTGATCAAGAACCCTAGGGTGCAACAAAAGGCTCAGGAAGAGTTGGACCGAGTTGTCGGTTCGGACCGGGTGCTGACCGAGGCCGATTTCCCTAACCTCCCTTACCTACAATGTGTGGCCAAGGAGGCACTACGGCTGCACCCTCCAACCCCGCTCATGCTCCCCCACAAGGCCAATGCCAATGTCAAGATCGGTGGCTATGACATCCCCAAGGGCTCCAATGTGCATGTAAACGTCTGGGCCATTGCCCGTGATCCAGCCGTATGGAAGGAACCACTTGAATTCCGGCCTGAACGATTCCTAGAGGAGGATGTAGACATGAAGGGTCACGATTTCCGGCTTTTGCCATTTGGCGCGGGGCGACGGGTCTGCGCTGGGGCACAGCTTGGCATCAACTTGACCACATCAATGTTGGGTCACCTACTACACCATTTCCATTGGACCCCACTTCAAGGGGTTAAAGCGGAGGAGATGGACATGTCGGAAAACCCCGGGTTGGTCGCCTACATGGCAACCTCTCTACAAGCCGTTCCCACACCCAGGTTGCCATCCCACCTGTACAAGCGTGTGGCTGTGGATATGTAATCTAGTCTGGTTCTCAATTTAATTCTCTTCTGGGATCTGTCTTTCTTTGTTGTAAGAAAATTTGAGCTTTTCACCGGATAATGGAGCCCTAAAATCTATTAGAGAGGCATATAAAATAATTGAAGTTGTGGAATTGATACAGTGCTTTGTTTTAGGTGACTAAAATCCTCAATGTTTGCCTGATTTGGCTCTGGATCAGATACAAATTTCTGTTAGATCTCTCTCTATGTATATGCACATGATGGTGGCTAGCAATAAAGGTGTCAATCGACCGGTTTTGGATCGGACCTGTCCAGTCCAAAATCGATTTGGACGGATTGGATGGACCTATAAGACAAAATGGATTGGATCAATCCAGTCCAAAATATTTATTAGATTGGATTGGACTTGGTTCGTTCGTAATAAATTTATATTGGATTGGGTTGGATTAAACTAATATCTAGTCCATTGATGTAAGATAAGAATATAGGTGTCAATGGACTAGGTTTGGATTGAAACCAATCTAAATCAAAATGAATTTGAACAGATTGGACGGTCCAAACATTGAATTAGACCAGTCCAAAATGGCCCAAAATATTCATTGGATTGGATTGGACCAGATCCATTTATAATGGACTCACATTGGATTGGATCAGATTGGACCAAATCCAGACTAGCTAGCAAAATAACAACCTGTGTTAGCTTCGTCTGTACACATTTAGGCCGCATTTGGCAAGTTTTTCCGTGCGGGCTTCGGGCTGTTTAGAAGTTCGGAAGACTGAATTCTGGGTTTTTTTTGTTTGGCAATTAAAAGATCTATTGGGAAAAAGCTCCAGCCCATAAAAGACGCCAGCAGCCCGAATTTGGGCTTTTTCAAGAAGCTTCTAATGAAGCTTTTACAATCTTTTAGCGCCTCGTCTTCTTCGAACGCGTGGCACGAAGGTATTATGTAGGGCCTACCAATGGTATGTGGTCATTATGTAGCGCCTCGTCTTCTTCTAATGGGTTATCTTTCCACAAAAAACTATTTTAATGTTTAAGTGGGACCTACCAATGGTATGTGGGGCCCACATTAGGTATTATATAGGGCCCACCTTGAAAATGTGTGGGTCCCACATACATGTTCACACATAGACCCACATGCATATCCACCAATGGCATGTGGGGCCCACCTTGTAAAATATATGTGAGCCCTACATACATGTCCACACATGGACCCCACATGCATATCCACCAATGGTATGTTGGGCCCACCTTGTACAAATTTTTGAATGGATTACCTCATACCTTGGATGTAGAGGAAGCTGAGGCATCGGCTATTCTTAACTTTGCACTTGCAGCATAATGTGATAGAAGGAATGGAAGATTCATGTTTGTGAGTAGGGGTGTCAATTGGGCTCGATTTTATCCAATCTCATCCAGTCCAGTGTGAATCTGTTACAAATGGACCAGGTTCAATCCAATCCAAAGAATATTTTAAATCATTTTGGACTAGGCTAACCTCAGTTGGTATTCATTTCTATTCTATATTATATTGCTTTGGCTGCTGAGTTTCAGTCCCTGTCCTTTCATGTTAGGTAGGCATTGAATGGTTGAGTCATGGTTTTTAAAACTGAACTGGTCAGGGGTTCGGTTACCGAGTCAAAAGGTCTGACCGTTCGAACCGAATGCTCAGACTGTTTTGACAAGAAAATAAAAAAGAAATCAAAAAAATCAAAACAATCAAAACAATCAAAATCGTTCAAATGGTTAACCGCTCGGTTCAGCGGTTTATTGACCAAAATCAATGATGTTGAGGAAAAATCCGGTTTTTGGGGAAAATGGAACCGATTAAATGATTGGTTTCCAATTTTTCTCTTCCGACCGTCCGGTCTGATCCGATTTTGAAAGCAATGGGTTGAGCTCATAAATTAGTATAAGCTTTTAGAGGCGTAAATATGGGTTTCGTCGTCTGTCTCCTAGTGTATTTTGTAATGTTTCAGTTCATTTTTCTTTTTTCTTTCGAGTTGAATGAATTTATTTTTCAACAAAAAAGTAAATTTTTATACAGTCAAATGCATGTTTTAAAAGCTTAAAGAACAATCAAGAGCATTTTGTCTTTTAAATTCTGTTGTCGTTCTTATTGGTTAAATGTTTTAATAAAGTAGATTTAAGTAGTTTAGCATAACCATAAGGTATATTTAAGTAATTAGACCTAATTAGTAATATTTAATGGTGAGAAAGAAAAGAGATATTATCTAAAACTCACCATTATTACTTTCTCATCTTTTCCTTAAATTCATTTTGACTTTTCAAAACCTCTAGATAACCCAAAAACTCAAACTTCCCATATATTTATGTTAGGTCACTGTTAATGAGCATTAATGGAAGTTTTACACATAAGCATTTAAGTATTTATATTAACAAATTACCCTTAAAATGGCCAATCAATGTGATTAAATGTTTTTGTATTAGGCCCATGCCTGACTCTAAAATTTGCAGGCCTAGTGTGGGCTTGGGCCCAGGTTAGAGATAATTTTGTCACAAAAATATTTAATAAGCTTGATTGGTCATTCATAGATAGTTTGATTGTGCAAAATACTTAAATGATTACATGGACAATTTCTCTAAATGGTCACTTATTCATTGAGCTTTCTTTGGAGGTTTTGAAAAGTCATAGTGAGTTTAAGAAAAATGTGAAAAAGTCACATGGTGAGTCTTAGATAATATCTCAATGCCCTAAAACATATGATTTAATGTGAGAAAATGATTACCAGGTTCGCTTAACGTGCTAAGATAGGATCCTTCTGTTCGTCCACTGAGGTTTCATTTCCTTTTGTTCGTCGCCCGCCGGAGAGGAGTTTGCCCCCCTTTTTTCTCTCTCTCTGTTTCAAGAGAGGCTTACTCTCGAGATCTCTCGAGGTTTTTTCCTTTCTATTATGTTTAGTTTCTCTATTCTTTTCTCTGTTTTTCTGTTCTTTTGTTCTCCATTTCTCCCCTATTCCCATATATTTTTTCGTTCTTCTTTTTTTTGTTCTCCATCTGTTCTTTTGTTTTGTTCTCCATTTTGTTCCCATATGTTCATTTGTTCTCCCATGTTCTCCATTTGATATTTTCTTCCCATTTGTTATTTCTGTTCTTTCTTTCTGCGGGCATTTTGATATGGAGTTTCTTCTCTAGAATCCTTTCTACAATAACCACTGGTGAAAGTTGCCACTTGCATTGCCGTCTCCAACGTTTTGGAAGGCAATTACAATTCTCCGACATCCTGGATGGTAGTTATAGTTTTCCGGCATTGTAGATGGGCATTTCAGATCTCCAGCGTTTTTTGGATGGTAGGTCATAGTGGACAGTTATCTGGTGTGTTGGATGGCAGTTACAGATCATGTCATCTTTTGTGGATTGGCTTGAAGTGGTTGGAAGTTACAGATCATGGCTTTTGGCTTTGTAACCTCCAATGACAATTTTCGTTTTTTGTTGGAAACCTCCCTTGTCAGTTATGCTCGTTAGTTATGGTGGTTTGGAGATGTACTTAACTACTTGTCAACTTGTGTTGGTGATTTTAAGTCACCTTGCTTTGGTTGCAAAAGTTCTTTTGATTCTCCTACATCTATCTCTTTATTTTATTCTTCTTGATAAATTGTATCTGAACTTTAATTGGCCTTGTTGGCATCTCTTTGTATCAATCTCTTGAATGAATGAAATATGACTTAAACTTTCAAAAAAATGTGAGAAAATGAAAATTAATATATTAAATATAAGACCTAATGATAAGAGAACTAATGAACCAAAAGGTATAATTGATTCAAATTATGTATTCTTTCATCCAAGGTTCAAAATATCGCAAAGTATTGGTCCGTATCGGCTGGTACATATCGTTCTGACAAGAACCCGATACGCGGAACGTGTATAAATCATTTGTTCCATTTCTTTTCATACGTATCAGTCAATACGAGCCCGTATCAGGCTATTTCGGATCTGTATCGGCTGGTATGGGCCCGATACAGTTCGATATGGTTTGATAAAGTTCGGATCTATATCGTTATTCGTTAATCCATATTTAATACCGAACCTCTCATTATTGTCGTTTATTTAAGTCTAATTTCTCTTTCATTAATTAGTCAATTATTCCAAGGCAAATTTAAATTTAAGTTTAAATTTTAGCACCTAATTCAAATTCTCTCATTAATTCCTTTAATTAATGGTCCCCTATCATTAATTTCATTTTGTTAGTGTAAAAAACTTCAAATTTTAGCATTAACAAGCCTTGGTCACTTGATTTTAAGTTTCAACAACCACAAGTTCACCAAGGAGACACACATATTTGTTTACTATGATTTTATGTATTTTTAATTTTAATTAAATTTTCACTTTTCTTAATGAGTGACAAGTTTTTATTAATAAATGCTAGAATTAATTATTAAAATTTATATACTAATAAATATTAGGATTAATTATATTGGTTTTTGAAAATTGACATTCACATTTTAGTTTTTTTTTTTTTACATTTTAGTTATTCCATCATTTTTTCAATGGTTACTAATTATATCCTGATACGTCACACTTTATATAAACCATTAAATTATGGTATTTTACATTTAAATGACTTATTTACAATCATATAAAATTTGTAAATATAATTAGTAATATACTTTTTAAGATTTATTTAAATTTTTTACCATATTTATGCATGTCTTGATTTTTCGTCCATATCCAAAGCGTATCCCGATACGTCTATTAAAATTATCTTTCCGATACACCTTGCCTTTCTGATACTTTAAACGTTGCTTTCATCACAATTAGGGGAAATCTATTCAAAAGTAATGGCATTTTAGTAAAATAGCTAAAGAATATAATTAAGGTTCATTCGTACTATGTGTAAATCTTCAATTTGGCCATCTATAGAAAGCTGTCTAAAAAATACCAAATGCCTTGAGAAGCCTTTTGGTTTTAGTGGTTACAAAGGCTACAACTGTCTAAATTTGTTCTCCATAAAATAAAAGGCTATAAATGGCTAAATCCATCAAATCTTGTTCAACTACTATTCAATGTTTTGAACCCATGGTTGACCCTCTGATAGGAGGACCCATCGGTTGAACATGCTTCCAGGTCTATTTAGCCCTTGAACCATTTAGTTACGAAATAATATTAGTGGTTAATGACCCAGTAACTTGAAGAGTCAAAACCATCAAATTGTTTGATGAATTAGTAGGTCTTGGAAATCCCTTCTCAAAATTATTTTTTGTTTAATATGATGAATATATAATAATTTTCTTTTTTGTATATTTTTCTCTTTTATTTATTTTTTATATTTTATTATATGGTTTATGGTAAATTGGTAATACGAGTTGACCAGTATCTCAACAACAAATTGCTAACACACCAAATGAAGGGGAAAGTGGTTCCACTTATGATATACAAGAATTAAAGTATCGGTATCGAGTATCGTATCGAACAATTCGAATACAGATACGGATACAAATATGCTTTGGAAACACATAGATACGGACGAAAAGTATGAAAATGCATGGATACGCTAGGAAAATACATATAAATTCCATAAATACAATAATATCATTAAATTTAAGATCAAAATAATCACAAATAGTATATAATATATACAGGAAATGTATATTTTAGTGATATATATGAAAAAATATATTATAATTAATATATCAGGATGCATAGATATCATATAATTTTATTTATAATGCATCAATCAAGAGTCCAAGGCACTTAACATATGCACCTATTATATTTTAATTATTATATAATTTTTTTTTTATTTTTTTTTGAACATTAAAAAAGTCAACTAAATATTAAATCCTCAAATACAAATTAAAATATTAATTAATAATTTATAAAAATCTAATCTTAACTTAAAGTATATCAAATTTGTTAAAATTTATAATATATATAAAAATTCATAATTTTTAATTACTAAAACAATCATTCCTTTATTAATATTTTATTTATATAATTTTCTAATATGAAAAATAATTTTTTGAAACAAATGTAGATTAATGGATTTGATAAATTCAATTTAATGTTATAGTCTTAAATATTTTATAAACGGTATTTTTCTTTTTTTATAAAAAGTAAATATGCTGTTATTACTTATTAATATAAATTAAAATATTAATTAATAATTGGTAAAATATATAATAATTTTAGTATGCATATCATTTGCAAATTTATAAATTTTAAGTATTAAAATAGTTATTTTATTCTTAATATTTTATTTGTATAATTTTCTTGATGTTAAAAATCATCTTTTTATATAAACATGGATTTGATAGATTATCTATTGTATTAGTTTATAAAATACTGTTTTTGAATATTATTCTTTTGAAATTTTAGTTAGAGTTTTTTTTTTTTTTTTTTTTTTTTTGTAATAGAGATTGAAAAAATCACATGTAAAGACAGAAGTTAATAAAGCATTTTATTTTACTTATTATCACAAGAAAAAATGTGGATTAGTGGCTTAGAAGTGCATTTAAGGTGCATGCTTTGGACACGTTCTGGTGATCTGAGTTTGAATCATCATGCTTGCAATTTTTTGTCCAATACGGATTTGTATATACATATGACTCATGGGATACACTTTTGTTTGTAGCGCATCTCATAATCAATATTTAAATCCTTGATGATATATATTTTAAACCATGCATTGCTAGCAAGTACCAACCATTTTTTTTTAAGTTCATATTGGCTCCAGCCCTACGTGCACATCTCAACGTGCATTAAGAACATCTCATGTACTTCTCACGGAGAGATGTTCGCAATGCACGGTTGAGATGTCCTATGAGGCATGTGTGGGGCACGCTCTGTGGGGAGCCAATACCAATCTATTTTTCCAGATGCCACCATTCCTTCATCTACCTAGTATCTATTAGTCTCAAGCCTAAAATATTTATATACTTCCATCAACAAAGACAACTAATCTCCCATACTATCTCCATGGCTCTTCTCTTCTTCCTCCTCCCTATCATTATCTTCCATGCTTACAAGCTCTTCCACCTGGTCCAAGGCCATGGCTGGTAGTGGGAAACCTCTATGACATAAAGCCTGTGAGATTCCGGTGCTTCCATGAATGGTCGAAGATTTATGGACCAATCCTATGAGTGTTGTTTGGAGTTACACTGAGGCCCCGTTCATTTTTCAGTTACTTACCCAGGTAAATGCAGTTACCTGGGTAAGTTTTTCTTGTGAAACACTTACCCGAGTAAGCGCATTTACCCATGTTCTTTTATTTATCATATAAATAAGGCAATGACCATTTTAACCATAAAAATCTATTATTAAAAGGGGCATTTTTGTCCCATCCAAGTGTTGGCAACTTTTCCTCTAGGTGGGAAAATTATTTACCCACCTTGGAGATGGGTACCATTTACCCGGATAAGTGATACTTAAGAAAATGAACTTTCCCTACTCTCACATAAATCTAAAAAAAAAACAAAAAACATGGGATTCTTGGTCAATAGGAACCAAAATCCCATTGACCCCCTTTGCTCCTCTCAAAATCCGAAAAAAGAACGCCCCATTAATGTTATTATAATGAATCTAGAATTGGGAGAGGAAGTACTCAAAGAGAATGATTATCACCAACGGGCTAATGGGCAAAGAAATAGATCTTCAGATTTGGGCTCTTCTGACTTATAGAAGGGGCCATTGGAGAGAAGATTGTCAAGTGTGTGAGGAGGAAATCCAAAATTACACTCTCATCTCAGTGCCGTTCTTCTAAAACCCAAGACAAAGAGTGATGTCAAATACCCTCTCCCATGATTTAGATGGAACATAAAAGAAAACAGAAAACAAACATCTAAGGCCCCCGTTTGATTTGTGGGAATGAGATTTGGAATTGGAATTAGAATGGGCTATTCCGATTTTAACTATTTAGTTGAGAGGAATCGAAATCCCATTCCCATTTCTGCCGAAATGGTATTTCCTCATTTAATTTCAATTTTCATTCCTATCGATTCCAATTCCCATTTTCATTTCTGTCTGAACCAAACTGATTATAATTCTAAAGGATTTCGATTCCAATTCTGATTCTGAGTACAAACCAAATAGGCCCTAAATATCAATCTTGAACACTCATTGGACTAAAAATGACATACACAATAGGCCACATCACGCAAACCACAACCTTTCCTGTTTGAAATAACTCAATAAGTGTTTTTTTCACCAAACACTCAATGAATATTTATTGTAATAATCACTTAGTTTTTCAAATAATCACTCCCGAACATAGCCTAATTCTAAGAGCCGAGTATCACCAAACACCATTGGAAGGTGATTTCTTAATCATTATCCTAAGTCCCAATTCATCATTTTGCTTCTCATAGCAGAGTTCAGATCTGCGGGGGCGCCCCCCAGTGTCCCACAGTACTTGTTGTTTGCAAACTCTACACGGCCCAACTAGGAAAAGAAAAGAAAATAGACCAGCAGATCTACCCAGTTGCTTGTGAAACGACAGAAGCAATCTACCCAGCGACGTATTTATGCAGAAGGATGATTTGTATTTCCATGGGTCCCACGGGTCTATCTGTACCCTGTAGGGCGAAGTATCGAATAATTTCATTAATTGGTCGTTTAGGCGTAAAAAATTATATAACAAGCAAATTATGATAATAAAATAATAATAAATTAATAAACGATCAGTCATAGTTTATACATATCCAAATTCTCCCGTTTCAATATCCCAATTTACCTCTGAACGATAAATTGAGTAAATGTAACCCTGTTTAACTAAAGTTGAATAAGGATTTGACTTTCTCTGGAAAAAGAGATTTTATCCTGTTGGGAAATGATAAAATACATCGATTTCATGTATATAGATCCAACTTTTAAGGCCTGTTTGGGAGAAGCTGTCCCAACATTATTTTAACATGATCTGTGTCTCCTATTTTATCATAAAACTGAGAACCATCGTAAGATTGGGATCTATCATATATGAGATATGTGGACATAAATCATGTTGGAACGTTTTGTTTTTTTGTTAGAACTTGGGAGGAGAACTTACACTTGTTTGAGAGGGTTGAGTTGAAAGAAGAAGATTTAGCTAGGTTGGTTGGACTACTTTAAAACACAAGGAATAAGCTATTAAGGACCTGAAGCAAATAATTCTTTAAGTGCCTGTTTGGGAGGGCTTTTCTGATGCGGTTTTTTGGCATTCTAAGCTAAGCCCCATATAGGAATGCAAAGTTGTATTTGGTAATAATTCAGAAAACCAACATGGCCCTTTTCAAATGCACAAACCACTATTCAAATATAAAGCTAATGTGAATAGTTTCTTTGGAACATTGGTGCTCAACCATCGCAATTCAATTAATATATTGCATCCCAAATGAAGGAGTCCTCCTAAATGGGTTCTAAATGACCGACTCAAAGGAGTTTACATTTGTGCCTCACAAGGGGGTTCCCCACAACGTCCTACAATACATTCCTACTGTGTATTGGGAACATCTTCCGATGATATTATCAAAAATGATGATATTATCATCGAGAGATGTTCCCAATACACAATGGGGATGTGCTGTGGGACCTTGTGGGGCACAGATCTGAAGTCAACTCAAAGCAGGGTTAGGTTATCTTATTTTTTCACCACACATAACTTATAGGCTATTTATGTGAGGCCCACTTCAGAATGTTAGAAGTCATTACACTTTAGCCTAGCCCCTCCCAAACAGGCACTTAAACACGTTGAGGCACAGCCCTTCAAATGAGCCAAATAACTTAAAAGCCGATTTGGGCTCTTCTGATTATAGAGGGGGCCCACCTCAAAAAGCCAGAAATCGCTGCCCTTCAGCCCTCCCAAACCGACATTTAATCTGAGCAGATCGGAAGGTTGAGAGCTTTTGTTGAAGACTTTGCTGACGCATGTGCTTTAAGCAATACTTATCATGAATCTCCATGCAGTTTTCATTGATGAGTGGCGTAGGGGTACCCTCTTACCGATTCGGATTTCTTCAATGTGGCCGTGTGGGTCCCGTGACGTCCACGATCTTTGGCTTTGGACCACATGAGCTATTTAATAATGAAGCTCCTTCTCACATGCAATCACACTTCTGAAAAATCGGCGATTTGAAAAACCTGATCGGTCAAAATAAGAAAATTACAAAAGCACTAACCATGGTTGAGAAATTGGGGGAAAACGAAAATCTCCGCTAAATTGGAGGAGAAAGGAGGAAGTGGAACGAAGGTATTGTTGCTTTTGGGCTCCGAAAAGAAATTACTGTTCTTTTTCTTTTATTTTTTTCGTTTATTTTAATTTTTTTTTCTGTGGGAGTTGGACGGAACGATTGAAGATTTTTCCGATTTTCTGTAAATATCTTCGGATCTGAAGTAGGTTTTCTGGGCTATAAGGGGAGAAAAAGAGTGGGTTCATCGGGATTGGAATCGATTTTCTGGTTTGGGTTTTGTTTGGAGCGTTTGATGAGCAGATTCTGACGCCATGAGGAAGAAGCTCGATACCCGTTTCCCTGCTGTAAGTTCTTCTCTGGATCTGTTTTCCTTGATTTTGGTTTGCTGATCTCGCTTTGGTGTTGCTTGTACTGTATCTTTGATTTGTTTTCTTGTTAGATTTGGGTTTCTTGTGTTGATTATGTGTTGTTTCCATGGATAAATTGATTCCCGTGATGGATTAGGTTGGTTTTCGTGGTGTAGATTTGTGATATGGGTTTTGTGCCGCTTAGGTTTCCTGGTATAGTTTCTCTCAGTGTTTGTAATTAGGGTTTCTGCCTTCTTGCTCCTTACCTCTTATCCTTTGAGGGGCGATATAGGAGGGCTTGATTATTAGGTGTAATTTTTGCTAGTTTAATTCCTGATTTTGCTTTGGGATATTTGAAATTTTCGTGTTTCTGTTTTTCTGTTTTTCTGATTCTCCCCTTCCTGGTTAATTTCATCTGTTGGGATGTTTAACTGCTCTGGTTACCCAGGAAATATACGGTTTATTTTGTTGACATCTTAGTTTAGTTTCTTTATTTTGGCAGATAAATTGAAATACATGTCAAATTCCTGTTCTTTTCTATATCCGTGTTAAAGTATTTCACTAGTTTTTTTTTAAGGGGAAATGGAAACATTTTTGATATTGTTATGGTTTTTACTGGAATAATCTTCGAATCCATAGTGGATTAGGTCGTTAATGGCTTACTCTGTCAGAGTAGTATTGAATAACTGCTAGTTTAGTTCACTTGTCTTTCATGATAGTCATTTTAGGGGTCTCTTGTACAGCCGTATTGTTTGTTCTTGTTGAAGGAATAAATGAAAAGGAAAATTAGAAAAAGAAAAGAAAAAAGCAAATAGGAAGATACAAATCTCTTTTAGGAAACCATGGGGCAAAATGGAATGAAAGAGGCTACTGATTAAAAAAAGGGATAGAAAAGGAGGATTCGCTAATTCATTTTAATGAACTTGGATGGTTGAGTTGGGTCATTACTCACTGTGATGCTTTTTTTTTCCTTTTTCTATTTTACCTGTATTCTTTTTTTCCTTTTGTGCTAGAGGTACTCTGATGTTGCCATCACAACCCTAGCAGAATGCCAATAAAACCCAAATTTGCAAGTAGTTAGCAGTTTCCAATGTTGCTCAAAGAGAAGGATTAGGCATGTTTTGATTTAATATGCATGACCTGACCTGTTCTATCCCGGTATTGTGTATGACATATATTAGTAAGCAGTTGCCAGTAATAACTTCCTCCCCTTTTTTTCTGATTGTTGCCATAAGAATATCTTATTAATTTATGAAAAATGTAATGAATGTGGAATTATAAAGTCGTACTGTGCAATCCAAAACCACAAATAGGCTACAAAGGCCCTCAATGCTCAAGTGGGTTCATTTCTGGATAAGGAAAAGCCCTGACATAGCTTTTGGGTAATTCTTACCATCTTGCTTCATTATATATATTTGGTATTATTTTCCTCATTGCTTTTTGTGCAAAAAATTGATTTCCTTGGGAGATGTTATGTCTTCATTGGTTGATACAGCATAAAAAAAATGGTATTCTAACTTTTAATAGGTGTGTTGTATTTTGTGTTTGGCCAAAACACATCTAACAGACATTTTGATGTAGGTCTTATCTGTGGTTGTCAAGCACCTTGTTGCATAGGCACTGCCTAGCTGATACTTTTTATATAAAAACCTGGTTAATTTTCCTTGTTTTGCTTCCCTAATTTGTTTACGAGTTAGCTTGTTTTGAAGTAGTGACTGGACAATACTATTATTATTCTAACATAAAAGAATCAAACTTCAAGTGTAGAATGAAAACAATGTTGCATGGCCTAGGAGAAAAAGGAACTTGGGATGGAATCCAAATCAATTAAGGCAAAATGAAATTATATTGAGAACTGAGAATAATTGTATATTTATATGCTCCAGTGGGATAAATTAATGAATGGAGGGAAAAACAAGCAGAGGGAAGAAGCTCCTTATGGTAAATATGACGGATATATTGGAGAGATGTTTTTATGTGTTAATTACAGAGTGAAAGAAGATGAAGTGATTGTTGAGTGATAGAAGATAAAGGGGAGAAAGTAAGAAGAACAAAGGAAGGGGCAGGACCCCTAATACCATGTAGAGGAACAAGGCAACCCTCTCTTTTACATGCCTTTGCCTTTATTTGTACTATATGATGTTGATTTAGTTGCAATACACCTTAAGTTTGAACACCATCCATGTAAAAATACCATGTAGAGGAACAGGGCAACCCTCTAGGCGTCATCTTGACAACTATGGTCCTATCTATGTCAGACACTGATATGCATCTCCCTCTATGTTATATAGCTTTCTACCTGATTCCACAAAAGAGTTTGATCTATTGCTTGCTGCATGTATGTGCAAAAGATAAGCCTTATTGGTAATTCTTTGTCATTAAGTATGGCTCTCTATTACAAGATATATATCCATGTCTATAGAACCCAAGAATAAAAAAATTGGATTCTTAATGGATATAAATAAGTACATAATTGGGTTCATGTCCAGGATATTATTGTCTATGAACCTAGATAGAAACCTGATGAGATGAATCCGATGTTTTTCATTCATGGATTAATGGCTAGTACTTGCTGAAGAGCCCTGCTTTTAGCATGTGGGTTCATGAAATTATGACCTACTCATGTTCATAGGGCTGATGGGCTTAGACGTTATATTCCTTTCACCAATTACTTCATCCATAGGCCACATTACTAGTTCCAGGTGGATACCCTGGATTTTTGTGTGTGATATCTTACAATATAGGGTTTCGTTTAATTCAAGAATCAAGACGAGCCTAATATTCTTTTTATTGTTACATCTGCTCATATCATTCTGTTGAGGACCATTTGGTAATTTAATTCTTATTGATATGAAATTGCTAAAATTAGTAATAATTTTGAAAGTGTTGAAGTTAATATATTTAAAAGACTTGTCTTTTCTACCTAGAAAAAAAAAAAAACTATTGCCTTGTTATGAGGTGAAATATAATGTTCTTGAATAAAGAGAATTTCTCTTTTGCCAATTAGTATGCATGTTGATTGGTATATAGAAATTGGAAACTAACCAAAATTTAGTTTTTTATTTAACAAAATTCTTATTGCCTAGGTGACTAGGTGCCCCCCTGCTAACCCATAATTGCCTAGATGCCTTGACAATTATGGTCCTCAACAATGCATTGGGGATCTGAAATCTTGTTCATACGTAAATATCATTCTATTAAGTTGCACTTGTATATTCTTAAAAAGTGGACTAACAAATATGTAGATGATAGAAGCCAATCGACAACTTAACAAGAGAGAAGAAAAAAGAGAATATTGATGGCAATGAAGAAAGAAGAAGAGCCTTTTTTTTTTTTTTACGTTTTTCAGTTCAGAAGAGGAAGCATCGGAAAGGTTTACTGACAAGCATCTTGATGTCCTTTCCTGAGGGATGCCTTATATTTCTGCAGACAATGTTTCTGAGATATTCTTGCTGTGTTTTTGTCATGTCTTTGTCCTATGATGTTTCAGGAAGTGGATTATTGATAAATTATGCTAGAGTGCATATATATTCATCTTCACTCCCATTAAGGGGAAATAGGGAATTTTGTGTATTGTAGTGGCTTTGGATAATCCTAGAATTTAGCCATCTGATCTGACTAATACTTTTCTTTTGGCAGTCTCGGATCAAAAAGATAATGCAAGCAGATGAAGATGTTGGAAAGATTGCAATGGCTGTGCCTCTTCTAGTTTGTGAGTACTTTGTACCTGGAATTAGAATCCTTGCAAAAAGTAAAAAATAGAACAAATATCAGAATTACTTAATAGTTATGAGATTCCAAAATTTTAGGAATTAATTACTTATTTTTCTCATTACCTTTTTCTCTTCTTTTGTTATTGTCTTTCTTTTCAATTTCCTCCCTTGTTTGGTTACAATTTGCAACTGGGCTTGTACCTGATGCCTAAATGGTTGTTAATACTGCATTACAACCATGTAATGAGATGTTCAAGTCTAACTATTGAGTCAAAAGAATCAAATGAAATAGATAACATACATGGCATAGTATTTTTGTTGAAGTTTGAAACTTGGATAACACTGCAGCTAAAGCATTGGAGCTATTTCTGCAAGATCTTTGTGACCGGACATACGACATAACCCTTCGAAGAGGAGCAAAGACCATGAGTGCTTTACATTTGTAAGTGAAGAGTTTTATTATTTGGTTTTTAGTTTTCTTCATCAGGGTGTAATAGTGGAAAATGGAGTTATTGAGCTTTACAGTTTACATGCAGTTTCCTTCTCCAGTAGAATTTAATTTTGAATTAAAATTTGAGTTTTGATGGAAGGGTTTCTTTTATTCAGTCTGATCTTTAACTTGATTTTCTACAACAAATTACAGAAAACAGTGTGTGCAGAGCTTTAATGTGTTCGATTTTCTGAGGGAAATTGTTAGCAAAGTTCCAGATTTAGGTGGTTCTGATGCTGCTGGTGAGGACAGAACTGTTGCCAAGAGAAGGTTAGAAAAGTTTACATTATTTTTTCTTGTCAGGATCTTGATAAATGGGAACTATCAAGTAATAGCTTCTACTTATTCTTACAGGAAAGCTGCAGATGATGAAGATGATAGTGATGAGGAGTTAAAGAGGAGCAGGACGGTAATCCATCTCTATGCAACTTTCAGTACAAACCATTTTCTGCATTTACTCCATAGACAAATAATTTGATCTTCTATATCCTACCAAGAGTGGCGAGAGTTTTTCTAACCCTTTTGAATATGCAAATGGTCCTCAATAATGGAGGGGTGGTTTGTATTGTGCAGCACGAGACAGTCCATGGCAGCACTGGTGGAAGAGGAAGGGGGAGAGGCAGAGGAAGAGGCCGTGGGAGAAGTAGCCGATTGATAGAGAGGGAGAGTGCTCATTATGAGAAGTGTGAAGATGATCCAGACATTTCTCCTCAACACAATGATAAGCAGCATCCTAACCCTGAAAGGCTGGATAATGGAACTGAGGCTAAAGAATCAAAGGAGATCATGGCAGTTGGTAGTAGTAGTAGTAGTAGCACCAATGCTGTGGTGCGGAACTTTGACTTAAATGTAAACTTGGATGATAATGGAGACACGACAGCCATAGCAACAGCAGCCCCTGCCTCTTCATCAGTGGAGCCTCCTGAGATGAAACATGAAGAATATCCTGGCTGGTCCCTGTCAGACATGGACAAGATGGCTATTGATCCTCTTCAGCTTGCCCAACTAAATAGAAGGTTAGACGAGGATGAAGAAGATTATGATGAAGAAGGATAAACTGACAGGGGCTAAACTGCTTGTGGGTTCTCCACCTGCAGAGGTAGAAATAACTCCATGTTCTGATACTTTGAATAGATGGTAATATGCTCTTTCTTGTCGAGACATTGTTAGGCAGCTTAGGGAAACTAAGAAGGAAAGAAAAACACGTGCACATGTAAGACAAAATGTGCTTGACCTCTAGAAATGCTGAATTTTTGGCCTTTCTGGGCGCTGTAATATATGTAGCTATTACTCATGCACTAACAAGAACAGTTTTAGACATGCCCCTTGGCAGTTTAGAATACTCAATTTGTGTGCTCTGATAATTAATGGATGGCCGGAGAATATTCGTGAATCAGAGTGAAATTGGTTGTATTACTATTAATTTTTTTCTCCATAGGTTTTTTTTTTTCTTTTTTTCTGAACAAGTTTGCAATCTCTGCTGCGTCAGTTAACTGTTCTTCAGATAGTATCTTGAAGTTGTATTTCATTAATTTCTTTTGGTTTACTTTTTATTTTTTTCTCCTTTTCTCCTCAAGCCTCTTTTGATCCCAAAGCAACTTTTCATTAAGGTGGTGTGAAGCTAATTTGTCTGTGCAATTGGAGAAAATAAGGAAAAGAAAAAAAAAGGAAAAAAAGATGCAATAAAGAAAGATATAGTGATTGAAGTGACAAACTTGTGAAATTGGGGAGGATTGTCATTCCATTTACTAATTTCCTTTCAGGGATTTAATTCTTTAGCAAGGAAGTTAGAGGAGTATGGTGCCTTTTTATAATCCTAATCAAAAAGAAAAAGTGGGGTTCCACTGTGAGATTTACCTGTGCTCAACTCTTCTTGGATAGCAGAGGGGTTTCTGTAAGCATGGGACAATCCTTTTGAATCTTTTTTCTTTTGCACTATTGCAAATGTATGGAGCAGGATGATGAGAACCTTGGTTAGGTGGTGGTGGTGCTTGATTTTGAAGGATGTTGAGGCTTTTCTTTTGATCATTTCAGGCCCCTGTGGAGGACTTATTTCTTAGTTGATTTGGATGTTTTAAAGGGGTTGTATTGTAAATCCTTTTACATGGTTCTTTGACTTATTTTATTAATCACATATCATATCGTGTGTGGAAAAAGGTTTCCCATTATTTGTCATATGGCAATTCAATATACAGACAAAACACTTTTATCAAATAAAAAAAAAGGATTTAATCCTTTAGCTATGGCAGGTTGGCAAGTTAAAGCCAAAACCAGCAGTACTTCATGGCTGTTACCATGCTTACTCTACCCGAATCCAACAGTTCATGTTGCAAGATGTAGATTTTACAGGTAAGGGTGTTTAGCCTGTTAATTTGATGTTACTAAATGCCATTTTCTGACTAGTTACAGCTTGGATTCTTGATATGACATGTGATCATTGTCTTCTGAGATTCATTTTGGGCCTTTAATGATTGTTGTGCATGTAAATATAGTGATTGCTTGTGCAACCAAACTGTGACTAATGATCATGTTATTCTGTCACCAGCAAATTAGTTAACCATTTAGAATGCTTTGTCTCCAATTCAAGTTTGTTAGACATTGTCGATCATGGATTTAGAAATTTGGGTTGGTAGTGTGGTACAACCCACTACTGGTTATATTACCTTGTGGGCACATAGTTTTTCATCCACTAACGACCTCTTGTGGATGCATCTGATGGTGTTCTTATTTCCTTGACATTGTTTTTCATGCAAGACTTGAGCATAAACCAATGTGGACACATTCTGTAACTGGCTGGTTATGTTACCTAAATTAGGGAGATGGAAAGATCAAAGATGCTTTTTATATATAGATTGTAAGCGGAGGCCATGAATGCAGCCAACCTCTGCTGTGGCTGTGCAATAACAACTCATGCTCTGCTTTGCCAAGAGTGCAGATGCTGGGATGAATGAACCTTCAACGAGAACTATATTCTCCAGTTAGATTATGGAAACTGCATGCTTAATTTTCCATGGACTGCACTCATCTGGGGTACAGATGGCCTGAATGCCAGATGCTCCATTAACTGCATCACGACTGTAGATCTGGATTTGACCAACTTCCGATGAAGATTTATTTCACCAACCAAACCATTTCAGGAAATTATTCATATATGGTTCAGTTCCATGGTGGAGGATTTGATGGAACAGAGAGAATACTGAATACCAGCATGGAATTTGATCTCCTGCGTGCCAATTTGAACAAAGAACGGATCAAGAAAATGGCCGAGTTATCCAAGTTACCATTGCCAGAGGAAACAATTCAAATATTGAAGCAAAATCAAGGAGTTTGTATTAGCAGGTGGCAGTCATGGCATGTGCCTTAGAGGGGATATATTTCATATTTGTTGAGTCGTGTCGTGACTCGTGAGACAGACGATTGATGGAGAGCTCAAATGGATTGATCAGACTGCATTTGCATACACATACCGCATTCTTGACTCTTGAGAATCGTATGAGTTTGTTTGACCGCTTAGCGTTTTACACTGCATCGGGCCGTGTCCATTTGAATTTTAATAAACCTCAAGTTCTCAGCCCACTCTGCCCAAGTTGCACCCTTAAAAGTCATGTTCTGAGCTTCTTTGGATTTTCACTTTCACTAGACATTGCTTATAGGCTGTCTGGGTGGGATTCACCTTCACCTTCTAAAGCCATAAGCTATGGGGAAGCCCTCTCAAACGAGCCTTGATCTGTTGTACGTGCACTTGTAGTAAACACATTAGTGTTCTGTATTTACCTCCCAAACAGGAGTTATGTACGGATCAAATTTGTATCAAACTGTCCTATTCAGTTCAGAGCAGTGCAATGCGCTAAGCACTGTTACCATGGCATAGGGTTCTTGTGGATTAATGTTGTCATTCAGAGAGTCCTGTGGACGGTATAAGCTGTGGAACATAGTCAACCCATTGTTGATTCGACCAGTTAAACCATTCAACCCATCACCTTGTTGATTCAATCTGTTTGCAGCCCTCGTGAGTTGTGACCCACCAATCAAACCATTAAATGGTTTAATACAATGAATCGCAAGTTCCTCACTGAATTTCATTTTGATAAATCTGTCCTCTCGCTTGACAATCTTGGTAGTATGACAGAGATAATTTACTATTTTGGTAGTATTCTTTGTTCTCCTCTGGTTTTCAGATATCTACCTCCATGATGGAAGGTTCAAACTTTCAGATTATGAAGCTTTTCATATGCTTCCTCGGAAGATCTTTTCCCTTGCTCTTTTGAGTTGGTAGATTTACTTTTGTAAGTGTTCTTGATACAACTTATTTCTACTAATGTCCTCTACTTCAACTTTTTGTCTTAAAAATATGTGTGGTAAATAGCACTAAAGAGACTACAAAAAGGCTATTATCCAATATTGGTTGAGATCGGCTTCGGTCAGTGCGATGCCCGTTCAAACTGCATTTACAGCCTTGCATTGGGAATATCTCCACACCTATGTACTTTATTTTATGGGGAGATATTCCCAATGCAAGGCCATAAAGGCTGTTCTTACGGGGCCTTGCACTGACTGAAGCCCAGTTTTAATGTTCTATATACAATATTAACTTTTGACATTTCTTTTTATTTATTTATTTCCCTTTGTACAAACATAAAAAATGAAAGGTATGAGTGCAAAGCATGTTTAAAGACCTTCAAATCCAACCAACCTATATAAGCTTCACCCAGTCCTAAGCCACCCAGGCCTTTATCTCAAGTTTGCCTGCCATTGGCTTGAGGACCAGGTCTTGGGGCTGAGTCTGATCTGGTCCTAAACTTGGTCCAGCCTGCCCAAGTTGGACCCGCACATTGTATGCACCAATGCAACCTAGAGGAACTACAACTGCCAAATGACAACAATTGGGGTCATATAGGGTGATGGGTTAGTTGTAGATGCAATTCTCTTATCAAGGTGTAAACAGATTGATAAGGCCCAATATCATGATCAAGTATATTCACAATTGAAAAAGGGAGGAAAAAACATCTCACACATCTATAACAATCAATCATGGGTGGCTTATTCCTAAGCTAGCTGCTACACCCTTGCAACAACCAAATACGACCTCCATTCACTGTTGTAAGATATCCCTTGTATTGTGGGGGTACAGGTTCAAACTAGGGATGCTCACGGTTCGGTTTCGATTGTTATTGAACCATGGGCTCTTTCTTGAAACTGAACCAGTAGTACTATAGGTTTTTGAAAAACCATGAACCAATATTGAACCGAAACCAATCGGTTAACCAGTCTATTGGTTTAATTTTTTACTGGTTCCGTTCTTTGATTTTTCGGTTTTTTATATTTACAACATATATTATAAATACTATAAATATATTATAATATAATATATTTGGTTTTTTGATCCAACAACACCATTATCAAGAAAATAAATAAATAAAGGCAAATGCTAGTATGTGAAAAATTTATGATGAGAATGAATTGTGATTAGGGGTGAGAAAATGGATAGGTTCTACTAGGTACCGAATGAAATTGACCTCGAATCAGCCTTGAATCGGTTCTATTCAATCTATTACAGGGTAGGGTTTGATTCCAAATTCTTGGAACTGACCCCCATCTAGGTTGGTTCTAGGGTCTAGAGGTTTATCTTACTCAAACCAACTTGATGAACAGACAGTGGAACCGAACTTACCTTGAAATAAACCCTAAAATATTTTTGGGAATGTGAAGATTTGAACCAAAGCACTCATGGTTACAAAGGCCATGGTCTCACTTAACCATTGAATTACTTAAATTATTCGATCATTTGTTTTCATTTTAATATTTGAATGTGTACAATAAGTAGTGTAAAATGCAATATTTACAAAATTTAAATTTAGTTTATAAGTTTTGAACCATATAGTGATAATCTACATATTAAGTTACTCAATTTAATTGATAAAGATAATATAAGTTTTAAACTATATATTATATTTATTGAAAATCAAGTTTTTAAAGAACATACCTTTTTTTAAAGTATGTTCCAAAAACTTGGAACTGGCCCCTACAAGATAGGTTCCAGATTCTACCATGGAACCAAACCGAATCGAAACACTGATTTTCAGTGTTTTCAAAACTGGACTGGAACTAGCAGTCGAACCAGAAAAAATGGGAACCAATCACTTGATTGGTTCTGTTTCACCCCAAAACCGCTTTTTTTGCCAAAAAATCATTGATTTGGTTAGTGAATCACTGACTCGGGTGGTTGAACCGTCAAACCAGAAAATGGTTTTTGACCTTTTTTTATTTTTAATTTTTTTTGTCTGAATGAGTCATCCATTAAAACTAGATGATCGGACCGTTTGACCCAAGAACCGGTCTTAGAATGATTCCCTGCACGGTCCGATTTTAAAAACCTTGCTAATTTTCACATAATATACCATGACCATAAAATAAAATAAAAATGAACAACACAATCAACATTTAAACTGCCAAGCCTGGTCACATCCAACAATAACGATCATTCGATGTGGTTAAAATTGATGGCAATAACAAAGTGACAATCTCCCAACCAAGTCCTCTTTCCTC